GAGGTTTCTTCCTGTTGAAAGGGAGTTTTTCCTCCCCACTGTTGCCAAGTGCTTGCTCGTGGGGGATTGTTTGGGTTGGAGCTTTAATTTTGTAAGGTTTTTACCTTACAATTTAAAACACCTCGATTCAGAACCTCTCACTGTTGTTGAAATTGTTTGGCCCTTTCTGTGAGGGCACTGCATGTTCTCAATCTCATTGGGAAATGCTACATTTTGCACATGAATGCAGATTTATTCTAAATTGCAAAATGCATTTGCTAAAAATAAACAAACTAAACTAATGCATGGCTATGGTGTATTTTTATGAATCTCGTACTCAGGTAATAAATACTTTTGTCTTATTACTGAGCAATAATAAAGTTTAAAAAAAAACCTCATGTCTTTTAATGAACCGCTTGTGTTTTAGTTTAGTTATAGTTATAGGTAGTGGCCGAAAGAGTTTTGGTCCCTCTTACTCCAATGTAAGCTTGTGGAAAAAGCCCAAGAAGTGTGTTCAAGCCTGTCTATTGAGCAGAGTTTAGATTATGAAACTCTTAAGAAAACTGTGCTGCAGGCGTATGAACTTGTCCCTGAAGCATATCGGCAGAAATTTAGGAATCTTAATAAAACTGCTAACCAGACTTTTGTTGAGTTTGCGCGAGAAAAGAATGTGTTGTTTGAGAAATGGTGTTGTTCATGTAAAGTTAAAACCGTGGAAGAGTTAAACCCTTATTTGCTGGAGGAGTTTAAAAAGTGTTTGCCGGAACGCATCGTGACTTATTTAAACGAACAAAAGGTGTCGTCTCTCACTAACGCGGCACTCCTGGCTGACGAGTTTGTTTTAACGCACAAAAGTGTGTTCTGTGCACAGAATTCGTTTCAGGAAAATTTCTCTGAACGAAAAAAGTCACCACGAGCAGTGCGTAAAAATGTATCAGCGTTCATTGCTAGATCAAACGGTCGAGAATGTTTTTATTGTCACGACTCAGGACATTTGATTGCTGCGTGTCCAGTATTAAAAAGAAAAGAAGCGAGGGGCACTAAATTCCCCGCAGGCGTGGGTTTGATTAAAACCGCTTGCTCGCCAAAGGTGCACGCGGAGGCTGAACAAAACCCGAAAACTGACATTGATCCGCAGTTGTGTCATGCGGCTTTGTTTCGTTGACGGGTGAAGAAAATGATAAAGTGCCAGTCACGGTTCTTAGAGATACGGGTGCGTACCACTCATTCTTAATAGAATCTGTGCTGCCTTTGTCTGAAAAAACATCCTGTGGTTCCGACATAGTAGTGTGGGGAATAAAAATGAGTGTCACCAAAGCCCTCTGCATATGGGTGCATTCGCCGTTAGTGTCGGGCTACGTTAAAGTCGCCGTGCGCCAGCGATTACCAATCGAAGGAGTTTCCTTCATTCTTGGTAATGATCTAGCTGGTGGGCATGTTTTTCCCCCGCCAGAAGTTGTTGATGTTCCTGCCCTTGCTGCTGACTCAGGCTCCACTGCTTCAGAGGTGTTTCCTGCGTGCGCAATTACTCGTGCTCAGGCTCGTAAAATGGGTGAGATTGTGGATTTGTCGGGGTCGTTTATGGCTATGCTTGATGAAGACGACTCTTTCGTGTCACCCATTGATTCTGTAAAAAATCTCCACATGTGACGTCCCTGAAATGATTCCTGAGGACATTAATCAGAGCTTGAATATGACCAGAGCACAGCAGGGTGATCCTTCACTGGTGCCTTGTTTTTCCTCTGTTGTGGACAGAGAGGGATCTAAAGCTCCAGTGAAATATTTCATTTGTTCTAATTTGCTATGACCTCAGAGTAGGGCTGTGCGATGTGACCAAAATCACATATCCCAATATAAGCATCTATAGCCCCGATAACGATAGAAATCACAAAAATGTAACATTTTCTGTAAATTCTGTGAATCTCGGGCAGCTCGACTCAGCTGGGCATCGTGTACCTGGAGTTGAGTGTTTTAACCGATGCATGAAACGATACATAAGTTGTAACGGCCGCCGTTTTCTTCGTGAGTATTTATTCAACGGCGTGCTGCGGGGAAAGGCCTGTTCTAACGTTTGAGTCTAAGGTTTATTTTAGCACCTGCCGGCTCTTTTTGCTTCTCATCTATGGGCTCAAATTGTGGTCATAAATATTTTGTTAATTATTTGTGGGGCGGTCGTGGTTCAAGAGTTGGGAGTTCGCCTTGTAATCAGAAGGTTGCCGCTTCGAGTTTCACATGTACTTTTTGGCTAAGTCCACACACAAATCTTTTTACACATACAAATCTTTTTTACAAGTACAACATATTTATGACCACAATTTGAGCCCATACTCATCCGTAAACACTCTTTCACGTCATTCAGTTTATTTTGAAAAGTCTCAACAGGATCTTGAGCTTTATTGTGAAAGGGAAATAAACAAGCGTACACGATGGTTTTACCGTCCTTGTTGCTAACGACAACACATAAAAACAGTCGCTACACCCTGCTGTGACATCACACTCCAGAGCTGACGTCGGTGTCACGTGATACATTTTCAGCTTTGATCTGGTCCTACCAGCTCATAAATAGGGGCGGAGGCAAGGCAAGTTTATTTGTATCGCACAATTCGACACCGATGGTTTGCTTTGCAGAGACATTAGAAACAAAAGTTATTACAGACACTAGCAACGGGATCAGAGAACAGCACAGAAAAAAACTCAAATGGATTCCTTTAAAGGAGACAGTCCACAGGAAACCAGGCCCATAGAAATATCTGAAGAGAAGATGCAGACACTTCTCTTCAAATCCGTCTTTATGACCCGTACACGGGCAGAGAGACGAGAAATGGATGAAAAAAACTTTATCGTTCAGTTTGTTGTAAAGCTTTCAAACACCATTACAACAAAAACTAAATTAGTCATAAAACCCATCGACATGTTTCACTCATCAAAACAGTCACAGAAAAAACTGCAGGAAAATTACCTGCAGAACTGCCAACATCTATAAACAGGGTGGTTAAGTCTGTTTCCGTGGACTGCACAAGATGTACGACTCCAAGGACTTGCTACGATTTTTCATTGTATTTCGTCAGTCAACATTTGAAGAAAATGTCTCAAGAATTTTAATATCAGAGATCAATAAGGTAAAGGAGAAAAGGATAAAGGGTTCTGTTGTTTGGGAAAATCAAACCAGTCCTGTTGAAACGTCTGAAGAACAGATCCCCAGTCCAGGGCAAAGGACACAAGAAACTAAAGAAAGAAACTTTATAATTCAGTTTCTTGTTAGGCTGAACAACATGGTCGCCTTAAAGACAGGCACAGCAACAAAGCAGGTCAACATTTTTGCCATTTTAGAAAACGTCATTGAAATGGCTGTGGGTAAACTACCCACACAACTTCCAAAATCTTTAGACAAACTTGTTAGAGCCGTTTATAAGAGTCTAAAGAAGACATATAAGTCTAAACTGATGGTACAGACTGCCATGGAATTCAGGCAGTTAAACTTTGAAGATAATGTAGCAAGAATGTTGATATCTGAAGTGAACAGGATGAAGGAGAAGAGGATTAAGGTTTTTGTTGTTAAGGAGAATAATAACAACAATTCATCTGAACAATCCTCTTCAAAGACCACTAGGAACTGTTGTTCTTTTGGGAAATTTTTGAAAACATTGTTTCCCTACAAAATCATAGTCGAAATCAGGCTATGATTTCGACTATGATATATACAATTCACAAGATTTCAACAATTTTAAAATCCTACAGTGTTGGTTCTGTCTCGCATCAGCCCCATCCAAACAGGTCGCGGCAGATGGCTGACCCTCTCTGAGCCTGGTTCTGCTGGAGGTTTCTTCCTGTTGAAAGGGAGTTTTTCCTCCCCACTGTTGCCAAGTGCTTGCTCGTGGGGGATTGTTTGGGTTGGAGCTTTAATTTTGTAAGGTTTTTACCTTACAATTTAAAACACCTCGATTCAGAACCTCTCACTGTTGTTGAAATTGTTTGGCCCTTTCTGTGAGGGCACTGCATGTTCTCAATCTCATTGGGAAATGCTACATTTTGCACATGAATGCAGATTTATTCTAAATTGCAAAATGCATTTGCTAAAAATAAACAAACTAAACTAATGCATGGCTATGGTGTATTTTTATGAATCTCGTACTCAGGTAATAAATACTTTTGTCTTATTACTGAGCAATAATAAAGTTTAAAAAAAAACCTCATGTCTTTTAATGAACCGCTTGTGTTTTAGTTTAGTTATAGTTATAGGTAGTGGCCGAAAGAGTTTTGGTCCCTCTTACTCCAATGTAAGCTTGTGGAAAAAGCCCAAGAAGTGTGTTCAAGCCTGTCTATTGAGCAGAGTTTAGATTATGAAACTCTTAAGAAAACTGTGCTGCAGGCGTATGAACTTGTCCCTGAAGCATATCGGCAGAAATTTAGGAATCTTAATAAAACTGCTAACCAGACTTTTGTTGAGTTTGCGCGAGAAAAGAATGTGTTGTTTGAGAAATGGTGTTGTTCATGTAAAGTTAAAACCGTGGAAGAGTTAAACCCTTATTTTGCTGGAGGAGTTTAAAAAGTGTTTGCCGGAACGCATCGTGACTTATTGTGGAGAGAGAGGGATCTAAAGCTCCAGTGAAATATTTCATTTGTTTTAATTTGCTAGAACCTCAGAGTAGGGCTGTGCGATGTGACCAAAATCACATATCCTAGTGATGGGATTTCTGGCTCTTTTTAGAGATCCGGCTCTTTCGGTTTGGCTCACTAAAAAGTGCCGGCTCTTTCGGCTCCGAACCGGCTCTTCAGGTTGTTTTGTTGCTTTAATTCATTTATTATTAACAATAATATAAAATTATGCACAAAAGGAATTACTAACGTAAAAAAAAAAGTGGTTTTATTTATATATGTTTATTATAGCTGTCGAAATTAACGCGTTAATTGTGATAATTAAATTTTGGAATTAATTACGTTAGAATATTTAACTATTTAGCGCAACACGCAGATAAGTCGCTCCCATAATTCCACTTGATTTGTTTACCGCGCCACTGAAAATGGAGAAGCAGGAAGCGGATGGCCTTCTGGATGGGGAATTTAAATACAAGAAGAACATAGATGGGACAATAAACAAACGCGTTGTAATTTGCACTCACTGTAGTAAAGAGTTTCAATTTCACCGTTCAAATTCGACCTTAAAATACCACCTTAATGCCAAACACGCGTTTGTCGGGGCAGCAGCTTCACCCGGCCTGCCTCAGACCACTCTTAGTGAACGCAGGCCACTCGGTAAGTCTTCTTTGGACAAACTGACCGACAATATAGCCAAATGGATAGCAAAGGACTGCAGACCGCTAAGCATTGTGGAGGACAAGGGCTTTGCGGATGTTTTAAAGGTTGCATCTCAGGACGCGTCCTACAAGCCCCCAGCGAGAAGCACAATAACAATTCGAATCCACGAACTGTATGAAACGGAGAAAAAGAAAAAAGAAGAGGCTTTAGTTCACACAGAATACGTGGCTCTGACAGGAGACCACTGGACATCATTGAGTAATGACAATTACCTGGGAGTTACTGCGCATTTAATCACTGAAGCCTGGGGTCTGACATCCTTTGCGCTGACTATAATGAAAACGGAAGAGCGGCACTTTGCGGAGGCTTGTGCAGAGCAGTTCCAGACTGTTGCTCGCAGGTGGAGAATTGAGGAGAAGGTGACAACAGTAGGCACGGACAGTGCGCGCAATATGATCGCCGCGGCTCGCATCATGCCATTCAATCACATGCCGTGTACCGCGCACATTCTACAGAGATGCATCACAGTGAGTCTCGCAGACAGTGGCTTTGTCACTGCGCTGGCCAAATGCCGCAAAATTGTTGGCCATTTTAAGCACAGCCCAGCAAACACAGCAGAGCTGAACGCAGAGCAGGTGTCACTGGGGCGCAAGCAGGAGCCGTTGGCCCAGGACGTGCCTACGCGCTGGAACTCCACGCTGGAGATGGTGAAGCGCTTGATCCGCAACCAAACTGCAGTAACCGCGACTCTGGATAAACAAAAGCATAAACTTGTCCTCCTGACGCCTCCAGAGTGGGACAAACTCCAGAGACTGGAGACACTTCTAGAGCCCTGCAGGTGAGCCTGTCATTGTGACCATAATTGTAGGTTTAGATTAAATGTATCAAACATACATCTTAAATCAGTTTTGTTATTATGAAAATGTCTTATTTAAAAAATAAATGAAATCAAATATTTTATTAATATTATTATTAAAAAGCTTTTTTTAATTTGCTGTCTTATCTGTGTGTGTGTGTGTGTGTAAATGGCCTGCATTTGTATAGCGCTTTTCTAGTCCATAGGACCCCAAAGCGCTTTACACTACATTCAGTCATTCACCCATTCACGCACACATTCACACACTGGCGATGGCAAGCTACATTGTAGCCACAGCTGCCCTGGGGCGCACTGACAGAGGCGAGGCTGCCGGACACAGGCGCCACCGGGCCCTCTGACCACCACCAGTAGGCAAACACGGGGTTAGTATCTTGCCCAAGGATATTTGGCATGCAGCCAGGAGGCAGCCTGGGATCGAACCACCGACCTTCTGATTAGTGGCTGACCTGCTCTGCCACCTGAGCTACAGCCACCCCATGTGTGTATGTGTGTATTCCACTGCACATATCTGCAGACTGAACTGCTGGGAGGAGAGGCCTACGTCTCCTGCTCTGTAGTTCTACCAGCCTTCTGCCACCTGCGCCGTGTCATGGAAGTAACTGATGAGGACCCTGCATATGTGGTGAGGTTTAAAGAGAAGTTTAAGGAAGACCTTGCTTCCCGCCAGGAACATACCAACTATGCATGGCTCCAGATCGCAACTGCACTGGACCCACGTTTTAAAGACCTACGCAGTGTGCCCAAGACTGACAGAGAAGCAGTGTGGACCACACTGGCAGGCATGCTGCATGAAGACTCTCCTAGAAGATCACACACTGCAGAAGAAGGTCCAGCCAAGAAGAGGCTGAGCCTGCTGCAGATGGACTCTGACTCTGAGTCAGAGGAGGAGGTACAGCAGGACAGAGCCATACAGCGCTACAGAGCAGAGCCCTGCACTGCCTTAGAGGACTGTCCCTTACAGTGGTGGGCAGCTCATGCAGGAGCCCACAGCCAGCTGGCCCGCCTTGCTCGCAGATACCTGGCCACTCCTGCCTCCACATTTTGCCTGTTGAATTAGGCCTATGTTCTGTGAACTTGAAGATGTATATGGATAAAACAATGTGCTAGATTTAAACGGGTGGAAAACATTCAGTAAAAATCCCTCACAATTATTTGAAGCCCTGTTCTGCTTGTACTGCTTGTACTCACAATTAATAATAAATAAAACAAACAAGTGTGTTAAAAACCACTATCTGTCCCGATTTTTACACATATATACACACATATACACATATATTTCGAGTTGCGATTAATACATTTTTAGGCTGTGATTAATTCGCTTCCAGCACAACACCCAGCCTACGTCAGACCACGCTGAGTGAACGCAGGCCACTCAGCGTGGTCTTAGCATTAAATAACACTAACAAGTGTGTAAAAATCCGCTATCTGTCCGTATGTTTGCACACATTTTGGTCATATTTCGAGTTGTGATTAATCATGATTAATTAATTTTTAGGCTGTGATTAATCTGATTAAAAATTTTAATCATTTGACAGCCCTAATTATATTATATTATATTATATTATATTATATTATATTATAGTGCAAACAGTGCAGGCTTCAGCTCTGGGGAACAAGCTGTTCCTCAGTTTGGGTGGATTCCGTCACTCACAGCGTTGTTAGCCCTCTTGTGCGCGCAGACTGCAACCCCCCCACTGTGCTTTGCCCTGATATCTGCAGTGTGAGGTTGGATCGCTCATTCTCATCCTCACACTGATGCCACTTATTTCGGTCTTTGTTTGACATAAAAGGGCATATTTGTCACTTTATTGCAACTATATTTGCACTCTTGAGCTCCTTCATTCACTGACTGATCATAAAGTTATTACTTGCGTTATGTATTCATCCGTTTGAACATAATTAATGAAGCCACATGTAATCACTAAAATTTGTATTTTGGGTACAATAAGAGAGTTTCAGATGGAATGCTGTTTTGTTTTGTTTAAATTTCACCAACTTGCTGATGCCCACGGTTGTGAGTGCGGCTTCTTGCTGTACATGGGTGGATGGTTGTAAATCACATCACAGATGCCAAAAACCTCTCAAACCAAGCCCCCTTGCCGGTGATGCTGTGCGCAACCTCGTGACGGAGTCAAGCATATTCAAAACACCCCCTCACCTCCCGTGTCAAACTCAAATGTCAGCCTATTTCATGTGTCACTTTTGGAGCAGTTGCCATCCCGACGAGCCATGGAGAAGTTCGTGTTTGTGTTATTTTACTTATTTGGTGTTCTGGTGTGTTTGGGCACCGGTCAGCACCATCGTGTTGAGCACGTGTTGGACCGTGGACACACCGGATTCAGTGGGAGAATAACGGTCAGGTGTACAGTTTACTGAGCACTGGGACTCAGTATCGTTTACCAGCACAGACACAGAGACGTGCTCAGCTTCTATTGAGAGCAAACAACCAAGTGAACCCTCCGGCTGCGTCCAGTAGACGAGACACACCGTCTGGGCCGGGAGCTTTCCGAGCATTCAGACTCTTAAACTGCTTCAAGAAATGGTTCTTTGGGGCACCTTTAATGGTTTTTCAAAGAACCTTTTTAAAAATGGTTCTTTAAAGAACCATTTTTAAAAGGTCCTTCAAATGGTTCTTTAAAAGAACCATTTTAAAGAACCTTTTTTGAGTGGTTCTTTAAAAAAAACCATTTTAAATCTTTCAAAATAAAATGCATCATAAATTGAATTTGAGTAGGGTAAAATAAATACGAGCACAGCATAGACATATATTAATGGTTTATTGTCATTTTGTAGTTACCAAAAGACAAAAAGGCATTTTAACCCTCAGCACAACATCACTACTAATACATGTCACATATTAGTGTTTTAAAAAGTAATAATTAAATATATTGGCTATACTATAAATAAATATATATATAAATACTATATCTACAGATAACACAACAAATAATACATGTATTGTTTAATTAATAAAACATCAGAAAGTGATAAAACACATTAGAAATAGCAATAGCTTCATAACAGACCAATAAATCAACACATTTTCATCAGCAGATATTTGCATGTTCAGTAAAAACATTTCAACAACAAGTTTATGATTAAAATGATCAATGAACTTCAGCCTTACGCTATGTAATGTACTTTTCATGTTGTACTCATGGTCCTTTGTTAGTCCAGTTTAGGACAATGTCTCTGACGTATGTTTCATATCAAATATATGTCATATCAAAACAAGCCCACACCTGCAGTTGTTTCAGTTTTTCACTGGTGTTTCCTGTCAGCTGGTCAACCTCACTCAGGCGGACATCCATATCAGCCAACCAAATGACAAGTTCCTCCCTTTGTGCTTCAAATCCCTCCCACTCTGAGACAAGGAGCTGAAAGAGAGAGAAAAGAGTCAATTATAAAGAAGAGAGAAAAGTGAAACCCTCCTCAGAAGGTCTGACTCGCATACCTGCAGTTGACCTGTGATGGACTCCAGTTTGGCGTTCACGTCATCCCTCGTCGATGCCAACAGCCGAGTCTGCAGGGTGCCCTGGAAGAGCTGAGTTAATGTTCGACTCCTCCTGGTCAGGCTCTCCAGCTGGATGACCCGAGGTCTCCCCTCTCGCCGCTGCCTCTGAACGCACAAACACAAATTGCATCTGAAGCAGGAGGTGCAGATTTTTTTTGCTATTCTTTTCTAAATCCAGGCTTGATCACGTGGAGGTATTTGGAAAATTGTTTTGGCCAGTGGACGACTGTTGTCTTGCAGAAAGTCAAACCAAACATATGCGATACACAATCAATTCACAAGAACACATTGTAAAAAATAAGTCCAGTTCTTGCCTGATTTCAAGTGAAAGCTGCATCAAAACAGGGTAAAATGAGTGTTTGCAGCAAATGTGAGCACAAAGCCTCACTTTGTACAAGCCTGCTATTACAGTTCTCCTCTATGCAGACGACTTTCCTGTTTTCAAGGCACAACTTGGATCTGCTGTACGAATCTTATGGATACACACTAAATGAAATAATAGTGTGCATGACTCCAGATTCTGATCCCTCATCCTAATATGGTCCCAACATAGCAACAGCAATAATGCAAATGTTGAGGCTTCAAAATACAAAGTCCATAAACCAATGGCTGACATGGGTTTTATCATAAGGGTGATAAATATACAGATTTCAGACTGTCTTAGAGATTTGATGTTCATTTACCTGCAGATGCACTATACGTACCTGCTCCATGGTTTTTCACAACATTTTGGATATCACTATTTAATACAGGAAGTACGTGAACTAAAACATGTCATCGTTCTTTGTGAGAGGACCATATTAATGAAACAAACCTCAATGACATCATAGGGATCCCTAAAGATGCTCCTGCTGCTTCTCTTCCTCCTCATCCAAAGCTTCCTTCTCCTTGTCCTCAACTTCCATCCAATTGTAATTCAATCTAATTGTGTTTCTGCCCCTCCTCTTCCTCATTTTGTTGGAGCTGTGAACACAGTTAATGTGAATCTGGATTAATTTGTGCAAACAAGAAAAATCTACAGCTTTTTGGTCAGAGGTGCTCTTGTGATTTAAGCCGGGTAGAGTAGATTTATGTGTTGATGCTACCTGCTTCAGCTCTGGCTGGATTACAAACTTTAACCATGTGCTGAACTTTGGCCCAGCGTTGATACCTCTTGTTAGTATAACGACCTCTTCTTAGCTTGTATGTATGATGTATGATGGTGGATAAATTAAATATACAAAAAAATTTAACTATATTACAAAAGAACATCTATCTTGGAAACATCAAATGACCGGAGCATAACTTGTCAACTAGTCCGAAACTAAGTTATGCAGGAACAGTCAAAGACACACCTTCTCATGTTTGAAACCATTGTTTGAAAGGTTCTTTGTGGCACCAAAACAGGTTCTTCTATGGCATCAGTCTAAAGAACCACTTTCTATTCATTTCTATATAATTCGATTAGACAATGAAGAGTTATCTAATCTAATTATTCATTCAAAACTCTTATGCATAGCTGTATTTTATACAGCTCATACAGAATTCAAAGTACAGGTTCATGTGAGTATTTAATGTACGGCTCAGATCTACAGAATTTCAGTTTCTAGAGCAGACACAGAGCTCACAACAGGCTTCAGGCGCCATTTTAGTGACTTTAACAATATATTAAATTTTAATTTCGGTCTAGCTGACATTAGGTTATGTACGCAGCACGCAATTGAACCACATATTTTAGAAGCCAAAGGTTCAAATTAGCTGGGAGCACCTTCACTTAATTATAACAGTGGTTTTGTTAGGAAAACAGTTTCTGTATACCGGATACTAAATTGCGCTGACCTCAACGGCTAACGTATCTAGCTAATCGCTACTGTTAGCACAACATTAACAGCAAGCTACAATGACGAGTAACAAAAACAAAACAGTAATAAGGTTTTAATGGAAATGTTTTACCTTTCCTAACAGTCCCAGAATCCACAGCTTCAAAGTCCAGCAGGTACTGAAGACTGTTATCCGTTTCGCTGTCACCGTCCGTGAGTTTTTTTCCCCGAAAGGTCAAGGCCCGCCGCTCGCACACTCTGTCTGCGCATGCGCATCCCAACGACTGACCCCCTCCGTTCGCTCCCGGGAGGTTATAGTATGACGTGTTCTGACGTCACTCTCTCTCTCTGTCATTTATTTGGCTCGAAACACATATTAACAAATTGCTCAGTGATGAACAACTACTCAGATCATTTACCTAAGCTGTGCTTTGTCAAAACGAAGTGTGTGTTCATTACACTGACATTCTGTTCTGCAATTGTTATTTACTTGTATCTTATAATTTGACTTTACATACTGCTGGGTGGTTTGTAAAGTTTACAATAACTAGTATTATCATTATGCTGTATTTTCAAAAATATATAATAATCTCAAAAGTAATGCCTTGGAGTAGAAAATAGTAATGCTTTATTAAAATTTAAAACTAAAGTACAGTACTTGAATGTGTGTATTGTGTCTACTGTTTGTTAACTCACCATATTCATAATGTGTTTGTGGGGTTAGGGGTGTGTGTGTGTGTGGGG